ATTGGTCCAGCCGGATCCCTCGATTCGGAAGTACCGGTAGATGTATGGATACCGAAGAGGAGAATAAGGTGAGTTCCGGAGAACGCGTTCTGTCCACTCCGGAGGAGTTATCGGGGACTCGGAGCCTCCGGGCACCGAATCGCAAAAGCGGTGCCCAAGGTCCTCGACGTCGTCCCTCGCAAACGGGCACTGCGGGAGATCGGGTTATCCCGGTTAATCGCAAAGTTCCCGTCGCACAGAGAGGTGGGCTCGGGTTTCGATAAACACGTAACTAATGAACACGGAGATTGCAGCGCCTTCCCGCGGACATCCTGGCACCACCGTTCGAGAGCGTTCACCTCCCCCGACGATCAGCGGGCACTTCCACCTTTGACGATTAACTCAGTCTCCGATCTACGAGACGGGCTCACCACTCGATCCACTGCGCATAGGAACTCACGGTTTCTGACTCGCCTCGAGGAGAAGTCGAGCGGACCGATCCTCAAGGTCGACCCATTGCGGTTCCGGTCGAGGCGCGGGTAGCCCGATTCGTTGTCTTTGGTGGTCGAAATGGAACTGAGCACGGAGCGAAGCCGCCCGTCCTTCGGGACCGGTCGGACTATCTCCGATCCGAAGACCCGGACCGATCACGAGGCTGCCGACGCGGATCCCAAGGGCCGGCCCGCGTCCGGACCCAAAGCGAGTCGAACGATTTGTAATCTTTCACCGGTCGTCCCTCTCGGAGTCACGCTGGACGACCGCCCAGACCGGTCGAATCGGAGGTCGGGGGTCACCGTGGTCCCTGGCCCCCGGGGAACCGATCGTCGGTGGCCAGGGGACTTCCCGGAGCGAACGCACCCTTTCCACCTGCCGGTGGGCCAGAGGACCGATCGCGGCCGGGATCGATCCCGACCGGCGTGCTGAGGTCTCCGGGCGAGCGACTGTCGGGTCGTGCGTGGCTCTCGAGATTGCGTGTCTCTGGTGGGCAAAGGAGAACTGAGCCCTCTCCCGGCGGGGCCGGTCGGGCAGGCGGCCACGCCGGCGGCGGCGGCGACGTCGAGGGTCGAGCCGACCACCCCCGGGAACGCCTCCTGGCAGCGCCCGCACCGACCAATCGCTCCCCGGGAACCGCCGGCCAATCGGCGCCCGGTGCCACTCCTACGGCCGCTTCTCTCTGTATTGATCTCACAATGAACCCGACTCTACCCGGCGCCGGTATTAAGAAGTTCCTGCTCGGGTTAAACCACCCCTTCCGGGCGGCCGCCGCCCCCGCCTCCCCGAGGAACTACTTCTCCGCCTTCCTCCGGGGGCATAATGAGTCTTAATTAACAGTTTCGCGGTGTTTCGGGAAGCTTAATTTCACTCCCGCCCGGGACCCCGTACTACGGGGAGTTTCCAAGTTTTTCGACAAATTCGCCGGGCGCGGATTCTTGGATTACTCGGTGACTCCGGCCTCCCCAAGGATTTCGAGGCGGGGGGGATTTTTAAACACATTCGCGAACGGCAAATTTTTCCGTTTCGAATACTGAGTACCGGCGAAAATAATGACATTCTGAAACTGGAGGCCGCATACTTGTAGCGTGTATCGTTATGGACGTGATTCATGTCAGCGGCAGTCAGGAATAGAATTTAAAATGACGTGAATTCACGTCAGCGGCAAACAGGAATAGAATTTGAAAAGACGTGAATTCACGTCAGCGTAAATCAGGAATAGAATTTCAAATGACGTGAATTCACGTCGGTGGCAACCAAGAATAGAACTTGAAAAGACGTGAATTCACGTCAGCGGAAATCAGGATAGAATTTAAACGACGTGAACTCATGTCAGTGGCAATTAGGAATAGAACTTGAAAATACGTGAATTCACGTTAGCGGAAACCAGGATAGAGTTTAAACGACGTGAATTCACGTCAGTGACAATCAGGAATAGAACTTGAAAAGATGTGAATTCACGTCAGCGGAAATCGGGATAGAATTTAAACGACGTGAATTCACATCAGTGGCAACTAGGAATAGAATTTAAAATGACGTGAATTCACGTCAGTAGCAATCAGGAATAGAACTTGAAAAGACGTGAATTCACGTCAGCGTAAATCAGGAATAGAATTTAAAGTGACGTGAATTCACGCCAATGGCAACCAGGAATAGAACTTGAAAAGACGTGAATTCACGTCAGTGGAAATCAGGATAGAATTTAAACGACGTGAATTCACGTCAGTGACAACCAGGAATAGAATTTAAAGTGACGTGAATTCACGCCAATGGCAACCAGGAATAGAACTTGAAAAGACGTGAATTCACGTCAGCGGTCGCGAATGTGTTAATACGCCGGTTCTTGGGCGATGATCGTTTTGAGACTGGGATCAGAAGTTGGGAACGAAAAGAGATTCGAAGTAGACGGCACGGTTTATGATAATTTTTGGAAACACGATTTTGCGCCTTTAGGTTTTAGGGGTTTGGGATCGAGAGCTTAATCGAGGACGAGTATCCCTTGTTTTCATCTCCCGTTTGGTTGGCCCGGCTTGGAGGAATTTAATTCCACCTCATAATTTCCTGCCGCTCGAAATGTCGCCGTTGGTACGCGACTTTGTTGTTCCTGCACTCTCTTGCCACTTCATATCCTACATGCGCACCCCGCGAGACTAAACGATCCATATTTGTTGTAAATATCAATAATATTCGCCCAGTCTTCGCGCATCATCGCAACCACGACGTTGACTTTTCTCGTTCCTCATATTTTCCATACCTTTCCACCGAGCGTCATCGTTCCCCCTTCTTATCAATTTCTCCTTCCATATTTCATCGTAACCTTCCATCCATGAGCATCGCGATCGATTTTCAAAATTTTCCCAACGCTCATTCTTTCATTACGTTCCATCAAACGGCATCTCAACCGTGTTTTAAAAATCTCATGTGCCTCGTTTCTTTTTCTTTTTTTTTTTCACTTTCCATTTACCGCCGTTTCACCACGTTAACCTCGTTTCGCCGTTAACCAAGGACTCCTCCGTCGCACGTTTCCAATTGAAATAAAAAGCTTCACTCCCATCATCTCCCTCATTGCCCTCGTCCTCCTCCTCCCTCCACTCTCCTCTACCTCCCTTTCGCAAATCCCCCCCTGTGATGAATTTCACCGACCGGGAGACAGGGTCGCGAGATGTCCTCTCCTTTCCCATCTCGACACTTGACCGAGTCGAATCGCCTCTCCGTGTAGCCGGTGTCTAATCTCACGTGTAATCCGAAGCAGGTCCTACACGGGGTGTCGGGCAAATCCAATAAAGCCCGACAAGCGTGACATTGCGTCCCGATCCCGGTTTTTGCCGCCCCTGCGACCCCGATGTGCGCGACCTGCGCATCAAACGAAGCTACAGAGCGACGCAGGAGGTTGCACAATGCGAGCCGGCCCTACAGGGCGGTGCAACGCTGCTTTACGGGGTATAAAACGGCGCGGGGGGACCTGGGGGTGCAATGGACCAGGGGAGTCATCGCGCACGTGGCCTCTTCACAATGGAGGAGGGCTCCCCGCTGCTAATAGTCGGGCATTAAATTTGTCAGTGATATTACCACCGCTGGGGTGCCCACCCCGGTCCGATGAATGGGATGATGCTCGAAATATGCTCCGAAGTGCTCTTGGCGAGAAATCCATCCCCGAGGGGCGCCGATTTGCACGAGTAAACTGCGGCGTTAGCCGCTGCGAATGCCTACCGTCACGGCGCGTCCCCCTATAAAATTGCAGACTTTTTCTTTTTCCTGCCCTATGGAAATCGGATCGACAGACGAATTGACCAGGCTTGAGAGTGAATTTGGTATGGCCTGATTTTGGAATTATTTCGGATTGTTTATTGTTTATTTATTTAAGGTGAAGTGAAACACGTCGAGGAACTTGATCAACGTCGATAAAGAAGATTTTTCTAAATGCCTACGTTGCCGACGTTCGTTTTTATATTGACAGCTGGGTCGAATTATATTGGGTATTGTATCAAATGGCATATTCCACCTGTCGTTTTCGTACAATAATTATAAAGGAATCGAAGTAAAACTCCAGAAATCCTCTGGATTCATGCCTTCTGGGGCACTAGTTGACTGCGCAGGGACCCCCTGCGCCATCTGTGATTTCCAGGTCAATTACATTTTCACTCCGAGACCTCGTATTACCATCGTTTTAGCAAAGAAGTGCATACAACACTTTTTTTGCCTTTATCCCGTTCAAATGCGAGTATATCGATTACCAGAGTGTTCTAAATTGTCGTAAAATTGTCCTAACCCTGTCGATTCTCATATCAGAGCCTTCGATAATTGTATATTGATCGAAATATGAGAGCCCGACGCCATTTTGGTTCTGGTCTGGATTGAGTTAAAAAGTTTTTTTGAAAAATCCAAATTTTTAATGTGTCAGGACAATTCTTAGATGATCAGGAGTGATGTGTCAATGTTTCGGACAGTTTGGTCTAATACCCTTAAAAAAAAGTGTTGTATTCGAATCGACTGATTTGAAGGATGTTTCACTTCAGCTTAATTATCTCGAGGAATTGGGACTCTCTTTTCCAACCTTACCGAGCGGAACTGCGAGGACTGTACTTCTCGGAGGATCCTGGATCGAACAAATTGCCCTCTAGCGAGAATTCGACGGTTTCCAGGGGCCGAAAAGGCTGAAGTCGCCGTTTGCGGACTGGAAGAGAAGAAACGCCGGCCCGGCGAATCACGTTTTTTGACGTATCGCCGACAGCCTCTCGCGAGGAGTCCCACGAACGGCACCGCACACGGGTCGGCAGGAATGTCGAAATAGCAAATTAGGAGATTCCGCGGCTCCTCTCTTCCCTCATCTTATTTTCCCCGGCCCTCTACCTTTTGTCTGCCCTCGAATCCATAAAGAAGCTGCGCGGACGTTTTCGCGCTGTTCCGTTAGGCCTTTGCCGTCGCTGACACTTATTGTCCTATTGTAGTCGATGGAGTATTTTGAAAAGATAATTAAATCGTATAAATTGTGTTAAATGTCGCATGACGTGAATATTGAAGAGACCGCGTCAAAATTATTTGTCTTTATTATCCCTTGTGGTCTACATTGTGTCACGACGTTACTAATGTAGCAGCGATCGGGCGTTTAACTTCATTTTACGGCTAGAGTTAAAAGCTATCGAAGGAGCGACGCGGTCGGTAATCGTAATCGCGACGACTCCTGTTAATCGATTTAATTCGCCTTAGACTTCGACAAATCGTCACTTGTTCTAAGACTGCTCTCGCTTAATTGATGTCCCCTCGGAGACCGATTGAACGGTACTTCTTTTTAGGTGGATTCTTTAGCTTTTAAGGCCGCCGCTTCTTTCTTGTCTTCCTCTTGCTCCAAGAACTTGTCCCACTTGTCCAACCTCGCCTCCACTTCTTCTTCCGTCTCCCGCACTCTGTAACAATTATTAATGTAAATTATCATTTCTACCTTTGCAAGGGATTGTATTGTCGGTTATGCACCTGTTATTCTAAGTTAATTATTTTAAAGGACAGGTAACGTGCCGACTGCAGGTACCTTCCTTTCGTTGGTAACAAGGTTGAACAGTTTTTGTACCACCCATTGGTAAGGCAGGTAACTGGCTATTCTATCAGTGTCGATAAAGCTGGGGTCTAATAACGATGAACTTACTTGTACTTGGTCTTTCCATCCCAGATTTCAGCCGATATTTTTCTCTGACTGAACCAACGGCCGTTCAATAGTTGAATGCACGTCTGCGCTTCCGATGGCTCTCGGAACGTCACTTGAGCGACGCCTTCCGGATGTCTCTGGAACCCAAATGAAATTACCATTAAAATTTCCATACGATTTACAACACTCTCATTCCTACTTCTATTAGAACACAACATGTCTCCGTATGATAATAATTCCAATGAGAAATCGGGGTCACATTATATAAAATATTTCTACAAAAAATAAAGGAGGAAGATTAACACTGACGTTCGAAGGAGTCATTTCTTATCTTGGCAGTTGCTTCCTTTCTTTTTATTACAGATAAAAAAGAATAATAAGCTATTAATAATTAATAGATACACGCCATAACAATTAAGAAACAATGTACATACTACCTAATCTGTTTTTAAAAAGAAATTTCTTTCACTTAAAAGTTATAATAGAACCTAATCAGGCAGTCAACTTTGCCCCACTCTGATATTGTTCCCGCAAAACAAGTAAAAGGCGTAGATTAATATGAATAAACCTATATTACGCAATTCGCGGAGAAAGAAACCTTCAACATTCAACCCCAACAATCGTCCAAGAAACTGGCTTAAAGAAAAAGTTTAAACAAAAAATTTCTTTTACTTAAAAATTGTAATAGAACCTAATCAGGCAGTCAACTTTGCCATACTCTGATATTGTTCCCGCAAAACAAGTAAAACGCGTAGATTAATATCAATAAACCTATATTATGCAATTCGCAAAGAAACAAACCTTCAACAATCGACCAAGAAACTGTCTGAAAGAAAAAGTTTAAACAAAAAAATTCGTTCACTTAAAAATTGCAATAGAACCTCATCAAGGAGTCAACTTTGCCGCGCTCTAATATTGTTCCCGCAAAACAAGTAAAAGGCGTAGATTAATATCAATTTAACCTATATTATGCAATTCGCGGAGAAACAAACCTTCAACATTCAACCCCAACAATCGAGCAAGAAACTATCTAACTAGAGAATCGCCGGTTTATCAACATGAACGACATGGCATAGAGAACTGATCCCAGAAGATTGACGTGTTGCCCGTTAAACGCCGGCGAAGCCGCCATGTCCGTGGCCGCGGTAATAATGGAATCTCAACCTAAATCTAACTCCACTTAAGACAAACCGACGGCTTCAGGACCCGAGGGAACGACGGGATCATTCGCGAAGGCAATTAAGCAAGTCAAGAAATCGTCCCAAACCGACGGTGTCCTCGGCAAAACCAGTCGCACGGCTCGCAGGCCCGATAACAAAGATGGCGGCCGGAGACAAGATGCAAATAAATCCACGAAGGGCTGACCTAACCCCATAAATTCCCCGCGCCGACACTCCCAGCTCTCTCGACCGCGAATCCATTCAATGTCAAAGCGAATTCCATTCTCCGACTCGTCTCTACCGGCGAACGAGACAAAAGGGTTATTCCCGAAGAGTAACCGCCGCGCCCGACGTAAAAGGAGCAGAAAAAGGAGATTGGATGGGAAAGGGCGCGATTTTCGAAAATCGCCTTTTATACCGTCGCCTTTCATCGGTGTCCCTTTTTATGGGGAACGGAAGGATCGAGGATTTGTCCAAGAGTTATCGAGCGGGTGGCAAACTGCGGCCGCTTGGGGGGGCGGTTGGTCGGTAAAACAGGTTCCTAGACTTTCGGGGTTGTATTCCGGGATAAGAGGGCACATGTCCATCCGAATGCAAGTGCCGATGCAGGTGTCGACGCGGGTGGGAAAGGGACGTGCACATTTCACCCGGTAAATAGCAATCGCCCGTTCGCCATTCGCCGAACGGCTCTGCCCTATTTTCTTTCCTAGCGTTCTTTCGGCGTTCCTGCATCGCTACTCGAAGTGCTCCCTACTTCCCAAGGTGCCGCATTGCCAGGCCATTTGCGAGGCGTTCTCGAAGCGTTTCCAAAGCGTTCTCGGGGAGGAAGAAAGAAACGGGGTAAAAGGCTGCTTGACTCGAGGCACTTTTCACCGCGTTTAGGGACTCGATTTCGAGAGGCGACTCCGGGGCAAACTTCGCTCTCCACTTCTCCACAAAGGACCTGACAATGTCCCGCGACATTGGTTATCAAAATTATTCAATACCGAAACCGCAATCCCTCGGCAAGATCTTGCGATTAACGAATTCTTTTTTACCACATTCGCGACCGGCAAATTATTTCCGTTTCAAATACTGAGTACCGGCAAAAATAATGAAATTCTTAGACTGGTTGCCGCAAACTTGTATCGTGTATCGTTATGCACGTGAATTCACGTCAGCGGCAATCAGGAATGGAATTTAAAATGACGTGAATTCACGTCAGCGGCAACCAGGTATAGAACTTGAGAAGACGTGAATTCACGTCAGCGGCAATTGGACTAGAATTTAAAACGACGTGAATTCACGTCAGATGCAATCGGACTAGAATTTTAAAACGACGTGAATTCACGTCAGCGACAATCAGTTGAAAAGACGTGAATTCACGTCAGATGCAATCGGACTAGAAGTTTAAACGACGTGAATTCACGTCACAGTGGCAACCAGGAATTGACTTGAAAAGACGTGAATTCACGTCAGCTGCATTTGGACTAGAATTTAAAACGACGTGAATTCAGGTCACAGTGGCAACCAGGAATAGACTTGAAAAGACGTGAATTCACATCAGCTGCAATTGGACTAGAAATTAAAACGACGTGAATTCACGTCACAGTGGCAACCAGGAATTGACTTGAAAAGACGTGAATTCACGTCAGCTGCAAATCGGACTAGAATTTTAAAACGACGTGAATTCACGTCAGCGGCAATCAGTTGAAAAGACGTGAATTCACGTCAGCGGCAATCAGTTGAAAAGACGTGAATTCACGTCAGCTGCAATTGAACTAGAATTTAAAACGACATGAATTCACGTCAGTGGCAACCAGGAGTAGAAATTGAAAAGACGTGAATTCACGTTAACAAATGTGTTAACACATCGCGACCGGAAATTTTTTTCCGTTTCAAATACTGAGTACTGGCGAAAATAATGACATTCTGAAATTAGTTGCCGCATACTTGTATTGTGTATCGTTATGGACGTGATTCACGTCAGGGGCAAACAGGAATAGAACTTGAAAAGACGTGAATTCACGTCGGCGGTCGCAAATGTGTTAACTAAATTTCACCAAGACCTGATGTGCACATTTTTTCGTCAGTAGGAGAATCGTTATTGTTTATTTATTGTTATCGTAATAACGAAACTCTCCTTAAATTGATCGACACCACGTATTACTAAATTGCGAACGGGATTTTTACGTCCATTTTCCACGTAGACGTTCTCCGAGAAGCACCGCCAGGCATTTGCGAGGCATTTCCGAAGCGTTCTTCGGGGAAAGAAAGGAACGGGATAAAAGACTGCTCGACTCGAGGCACTCTTGGCGCGTTTAGGGCCCAGATTTAGAGAGGCTGACACCAGGGCAAGCCCGTGGCATTGGTCGAGCTCGACTAAGGGACAAAGAGCCTAACACTGTCAAACCGACCGAGTTATAAAATTAACGCCCCGACGAAGGAGTTCATAAAACCGCGGCTCGGGGCGTAGGCAAGCCTCCAAAAGGAGCACCACGAAGATACGAAAACGAATCGAAACCTCCCGGAAAAGGGAGCCGTAAAAAAAAGAAGAAGAAGAAGAAAAGAATATACAATGCCCGGAGAACGGGAAAGGGAGGAGGAAAAAAGGCGGCGGGCACGGCGAGTTGTAACAAAAGCTCGCTTTTATAGCTTCGAAGCGCGGGAATATCGAAATAGAAGACAAAATTCGATTCCGCCTCACGATCTACCTGAAATAACCTTCCACCCCGAATAAAGGAGCGATCGTTTCCGCCCTGTTTCCCCATTCCAATTTTTTTTTTAATATTTTCTCTACCTTCTTTCCCCCGGTTTAATTCGATACCGTCGACCATAAAGACGGTTTCGATGGGAAAAATCACGGGTCCAGAGTGCTACGTGAATGCAATTCTTTTCTGTGAAAACGAGGATGCTGGTGACACCGCGTTCAATTTTTTTTTCTTTTTTTATTTTCAAATGAATGCAACGCGTTTAGTCCGAGAGAAATGACTGACGTTTTACCGGGCGGATCAGAGGAGGGGAGACCGAGGTCAATTGTAACAATTTAAACGTTTTTATTTCTACAATTAATTGCAACAGCTCTTTATGATCGAATCTTGGTCCATGTATTAAGTGAACCTTCCCCTGAATGACAACCTACATTCGAATTCAAGATCCTATAAAAATGAGCAATTTTTATTTTCTCTACTAAATGTAATTGTTACATGTGCAATCGTTGCAGGGGCTGGGACAAATGTAACACCACTGATTAATACAAAAATACTCAAATAACTATAGTTAATAACTATGTTTTGGTAGATACGGATGAACACAACAAAAGTTCCTTACAATGAATAAATATAGAAATAAATAAATATGAATGTCACATATTTAATTAGTAATACATTTCGAACAGTAAAAATTGACATAGTCCATTTTGTTTTCCATGTTACTGATTTCACATTTCATGGGACCATTTCTTGCATTGAAGGGCACTGAATCCAAATTTGGGCTATTTTGGTCCTATCGGGAAAAATGAAAATAACAAGAGAACGTCTGATATAATAATCATGAAACGACTGGAAGATGTCCCTAGTATCCATGGGAAGCTTCCACTGCTTAACCACGCTTTATCAAGTTTGAATAAATAATTCATAACGTTTATTACAATTGCCCCGTGTTACATTTGACCACGGTCTCCCCCTGCGGAAATTTTTGCGATTTTTTCTCTTTAGAGTGATTCGCGACTATTCGCCTCTTTTAATGGCTGTAGAGGAAGTCATCGAGCCCGGTGAACGACCCGGACACCTGATGGAACCACCGCGTCCAATCTAATGATCTTCAAACCCTATGTTCAGCACATCACTCGTTGTTAAAGCATAATGAGAGCGAAACGTCCATCCCGTCGCCTCGACCACGCCTGCGGTCTCCTCGGCAACGGTAAATCCTAAAAAAGAGGCTTTCCGAGGATTTCCGAAAAAAAAGCCCCGAGGTAAAGAAAGTCGCCCATCCGAGCCAGATTCGTTTAATTGTCCCCCAATTACGGGGGCTCTAATTATACGACCGCCGCGTAAGTCTTTCGCTCTTCGTTCTCGATCAGGATCGACTTCTCTAAGGCAGGATGTTCCGCGTTCCAGAAATAGATAGATAATCCTGAACGTGAAGAAACACTAACGGCCTCGATCACACATGAAGCCTCGCCACTAAAAAACGGGAGCTCGGGCAGATTTATCTCGGACTCAAAGTCATTTTAACTGCGCAATATTCCGATCATAAAAGCATTACTTCCCGTGCTAAATAGCCATTATTTATGGCGGATAATCCTCAAGTGCACTCACAAGGAAGGTATCCCAAGTCGATCTCTCCGATTTCACTTCATTTATAATACGCTATAGTAGACTAAAAACTAAGCGACACGTATTTTTTTTTTATCTCCCATTAAACACTTTAAGGGTGAAACCACCATCCAAAGTAAGGCATGTCAAGGGGCGATTTTGCAGTTTCACCCACAAGAACATATTTTTTAACCAATCCACCTGGAAAAGCTTTCTCATAACAAGAAATGAAAAATATAATTTTCTGAATTAATAAAAATTATTAAGGGGTGAGCCACCCCTAAATATGATTACTTTGGATGGTGGTTTCACCCCCTTAAAGTGTTTAATGGCAGATAAAAAAAAGTACGTGTCGTTTAATTTTTAGTCTACTATAACATATTATAAAAGAAATCAAGTCGGGGAGATCGACCTGGGATACCTTCCTTGTCAGTATTTTTTTTTATGTCCCATTAAACACTTTAAGAGGGTGAAACCACCATCCAAAGTAAGGCATGTCAAGGGGCGATTTTGCAGTTTCACTCACGAGAACATATTTTTTAACCAATCCACCTGGAAAAGCTTTCTCATAACGAGAAACGAAAAATATAATTTTCTGAATTAAAAAAAAAAATTAAGGGGTGAGCCACCCATAAGTATGATTACTTTAGATGGTGGTTTTACCCCCTTAAAGTGTTTAATGGCAGATAAAAAAAAATACGTGTCGCTTAGTTTTTAATCTACTATAACATATTATAAGAGAAATAAAATCGGGGAGATCGATCTGGGATACCTTCCTTGTCAGTTGAGTGAACTAAAAAAGTCGAAGGTTTGCGCCGCTTACTTTTTTCAATTACATTCTCTTTTTCCTGGCGGTTATTAGTCGATATCATTGAACGATTTACTGGAAGCTCAACTTGACTGAGGACTTTGTAGAGCGGAAAGGGATTAATTTCTAGACGCGATGGAACCTGGCAGGCCGGGATACATAATTTTGAATAATTCATCGGGTCGTATTCCAGCAGAAGTTTGCGCAATGCTCGCACGTGCGAACGACGCCTACGGTCATAGACGCGTGACGAAGTTGTACCTGTAATTGTTTTGGCACCGTCAGTACACCCCCGTGTGCACCGGAACGCGGTTACGTGCAGTTTGCATCCACCTATGCGTGCAGAACGTTTCCTATACGTGAAAGCAGCCGACACTGCGTCACGAAGATACGCAATCACTAGCCCGGTGCGTGGAATTTCAAATAGACCTAATGTGCTTTAAATTACACGCTTCTTCGCTTATCAGGTTAAATGATTTCATGTCGCCGAGAAATGGAAACCCGAGCCTGAAAACTGGAATGAGGCGGGAATAAATGCACTTACAGAAAGGGATATCCAAGAGTCCGTCACTTACTTCATTCGTTTTATAATACCTTATGAAGAATTGAAAAATAAGGGACACTTGTTTTTTTTTATACAGCTGCCCAAATTCACATTTACGAGGCTTCGACTCTTCAATGTTTGCAATTGTAGGAAAATATTCGGTCGAATCAAGAAAATTGTTCTTCATTCAACGCTGGAATATGGTTACTTAACTTTTGGTCGATTACATAAAATATTGTGGATGATCGCGTGGAATAATAAAATAATCTGGTACGTCTAGCCAAAGTACTTGGTTTATTGACTAAAATAACTTATGAAATCCACGAAAAGGTTTAACCAAAACAGTTTAGCTAATTAAAGCCAACGAGTTTGTCCAAATGAATTGAAATTTGGTTTACTTTACGTATTCTGAAATTAACTAAATGCAGTCAATTAAACGATTTTGCTAGATGAGCCAATTTATTTCCTTTCCTGCGAGCATACTTGAGAAACATTAACTTGAAAAGTATGAACGAAATTACCCGATGAAACTCAATGAGAACTCGTAAGTTCTGCTTTTTTATGCCAGGGTATAAATGAAAATTACGGTAATATAAGTAGTGCGATAAATGTCAATTGGATGGTAATTAATTATTAGTTTAAGCGACTTGTTACATTGTAAGTGTCGGGTGTTCCAGTGGAATAAAGACAAGTGTTCAGAATGACTAACAATAAGTTTAATGGCTTTTCTTTCCCAGACCTATGCTTGCTATTGAGACATCACAATGTCGGGAAACATCGATATCAATTATCTTCCCAGAGTCCGGGGAAAGTGACCAGTCCCCTTGCTGACTTGCAAATGACGATGTCAGTGATAAGTTACGACAGTGGAGTCGCGAGTTATGACTTATAACGCGTTTAACCACATTTGCGAGTACATTATCGCTGAAGTGGTCGCAGCCTCCGAGTAGCGGAATGATACATTGACTCTTCCCTTCGGTATCGAGTGTAACGAGAGGTCAGTATTTCATTGACAGGTACATTTTCTCCCACATAAACGAGAAAAAGCCCCGAGTAATGGTGGAATTTAGTGAACTTGGAATTCCCGATGCAGCGCCTCCGAATAGCGAACACAGAAGCGCGATACATCCTGGATGAGATAGGCGAAATGAATTGATAAAATTCAATTTCGAAAGTCCAAATTGCTCTTTTTAGCCGATATGTAGATAGAGGCACTGGACCAGGTATGCGTGGATATGCAGATAAAATGCAGGTAAAACCTTGGATTTTTCTCCCGCGGAGAAACGCAGCCGCAAGAGACACGGAGAACAAACGGAGACAAAACCTTTCCTGGGGAATTAGCATAAATGATGTTTATGACGTGTAAAATGGAGGTTCGATCGTGACTGCAAAACGGCGAGCCTTGCGGTAATAGAATCGTCTTTGAAGCCGCTTCCTTGTGCCAGTGATGCATCGGTAATACATAATCTCAACGTTGTGCCGGTAATGTACAATGCCACTTACATCGTAAATGACCACCTTTCGCACGTCCCCGCATTTTTGGCATTCCGAGCGGATGTCTTGCTGGTATTCGAGCAACAATGCGACCTCCTTGTCGAAATCCTCCGGGGAGAAGAGATTTTTTATTATGACCACGCGTTCGCATTTCAAGGGCTCGCCTCGCATCGGTTCCGGTCTCCAATCGAAGAGTCTGTGAAAAGTAAAAAAAAAACATATTAGAGGCAATTCGATAACTGCGTAATTTTTTCTTAACAGAACAAGAATAACCATATAATATAATATACAATCTGAAAACGGAAGAATTTTTTAATACGGGGAAGAGAATTTTGAAACGGATTGATAATTGAACATCTCGTCTACTGAATGTGCCAGTCACTTGTAAAGTATTCCATCTCTGCGTATAGGAGAAAAAATTATTAATCCATGCGAGATATTAGCACGTCATCGTTCAGGCACGTCTCTTTAGTCATCGAACAATTCCGAGGACTTACTCCGATACCAGTTTTTCAGACACGCAATGAATATCTTTGATGGTTTGAGTCAGAACCTGCGTTAGTGAACTACATTGTTAAGCAATTTGTCATTTGCATACGACTTTATTTTCTTATCCTCGCCGATGACTCCAGAGAATCACGTCATTTTCGATTTCCACTAAACGCGATACTAATTGTGTGGATTCTTCGTCAGCAGTTGCATTGTCCGCATTATTCACTGTTTACCCTACCTTGAAGAACCTTGCTTATCTCCTTTAATCGCATCATTTCTGACACGCATTAATCACATCCGGAAATAATAATACAAACAACATTGTGCAAATCATACGAGAGAGGGTAATTTCAAGAATGATTAAATCGACGAATTAAATTCAGATTTATTTAACCAAAATATATGGACTTCGTCCGCCAAGGTAATTCAATAACCGAACCGAAAATTGCGGTTGAACAATTTCGAATGGAACTCGAACAAAACGAGGGAGCGAACGAAAATCCAGTTGCGAAACGCGGATAAAAAATTATTCAAATGGAACTTTCACCAAGCGAGTTATAAACCCTCATTCCCATAAATGAATTTATATTCGATAACGAACGAAATTTGCATTCGGTCAAATTTGTATTCACCATCGATTGGCCACTGTTTTGTCCAATTTCAACTCGGGTTGACTATTACCACAAAGCCAAATTGAAAACCCATTTCTCATTACACTGCCAAAGCACATGTACACATTGCAATTTCCTCGAATTTCACATAGCGATACGTTATTTCCCTAAACCATACCAAAACCATCTACCAACATCGTGAAAATATATAAAATTCACTTTTTATTAAAAAATTAAGTTTTCAACCCGCCAGCTGAACCATCCGCGGTGATTTTCCATTATTACATAAAAAGCATCCACTTCACTGTTCAATGGAAAAATTGTTCACATAAAAAAGACGCAAGAAAGTTATCTTCATGACAAAAAAAAAATCCAAACGGGGTCTTTCAGCTCTATCACGTTCGCGTAGTTTCATAAAAGATATCAAGTGCCCCATTTAATGAAAAATTGTTGACACGAGGGAAATAACAAGAAAAAATTTCATCTTCAGAGCGGAGATGTCCAAGGTGGTCCCCGTTCCTATCGCGATCCCAATTTTTATATCAAAGATATTCCTTTCCATTTTAATGAAAAGTTATTCATAGGGTCGAGAAGAGAAAAAAAAGGGGGCTAAAAAAATCTGCGCCAATAACAGGAACGTCCGAGGTGGTCCTCCGGTTTCGCAGCCGGACCGGCCAATCCGGTCGATAAAGCGCGGAAACGCGAGCGGCCGCGTGCGCGATGCACCTTTTTCGCCGTTACACGGCCATGACCGTTGGCGCTCGAAGCCGCGCTGTAAACTCTCCTTTACGGCAGTTTAAGGTGATATGAAAGAGTCAGCCTGTATATATCTGCGAAGCCAAATCGTTGGTGAAAGTATTCCCCGAATTGGGTGTACCGATTCGTTTCAAATTTTACCACGTGACTATGGAGGCCCTAAAGTAGGTCCTGAAACTCATGAAATTTGATTTTTCATAAAAAATGTATTTACTTATCATGGACTAGAACCAACATGGCGTGGTCCGTGCAGGTTTTGATGTCTTACGCTTCTTGGAGGTTGAGAATAAAAAATTAAGAGTTTCAGGACCTAACTCGAACAATTTAGAATACCATAGAAATGGAATGTTACAGAGTCAGATATAAATACTTTCGCCTTTTAGTTTAAGGTGATATGAAAGAGTCAGCCTATATATATATGTCCCAAGACTAATGAAATTCGATTTTTCATTAAAAATTTATTTACTTATGGACTAAAACCAGCATGGCGTGGTCCGTGCAGGTTTTGATGTTTTACGCTTCTTGGAGGCTGGGAATAAAAAATGAAGAGTTTCAGGATGTATCTCGAACAATTTAGAATCCCGTAAAAATGGAATATTACACACTGAGAAAAAAATTTGGTTGAATGAAAAAAAAAATAGTTATTTTAAATAAATACGGCGGTTACGGGCGAAGGAACGAGAATGCAGTTAAATCAAAAATAAATGCTTTCATTCGAATAAATGAAATTTTGTTAAAATGAAGAAGTATGTGATGATACGAACAATATATACTTTTAAATCAAGTTGATATATCTTTGAAAGGAGAATATGGTATAGTTTATTAGAAGAAGTTTCAATCAAATAAATAAAATATGAGTTTGAAATGAAAATGCATGTAGTTGATTGAAGCACAAATTTATTTTAATCTCTTGAATATACCGTTGACATAACAAAATATCAGCGTATACTTAAATAAGTCTGACTCTGCAGAGTCAGATGGGAAAATGTGGGAAATACTTTCGCCAACGATTGCAAGAAAATACTGGCTTACCTCGTGGCTAACACGTGTTTTTAGAGTAAAAATTTAGTTGCAGCTAAACTTCACAGATGGCGAAGTTGGTTGGTGAAAATATAAACAGTCATGAATTCACGGGATTTCGACAGTTTTACATCGATCTTTTTATCATTACTTTACCGAGATGACATATGGAACCCTTCAGTTCGTATAATTCACAACGTAGACTGTAAAAAACTTGAACATAAACATAAATGTCGGTAATTGTACGCGCCAGCTTATGTTCCCACTTGAGTATTCAAAACGGCATTCCCCCCAAAAAAGGTATAGATGAATTTGACTTTATCGACGTCGATTAAATTTCTTAGCGCCATTCATGTCCTCTTAAGTAACATTAACGATCCCGGCGAGGGGAAAGTTCGTCGATCCGCTTTGAAACGCGAGAATATTTTCTGTGCCCCTCGGTGTCGTATCGAAAGCTTACGGCCCGATCGATGGATCGATCATTACGCCGGCGACCATTACGGTGACCGGTCATTACCGAGGTGTACGCACCTCGACCGAGTGGTCATTCATAAAGACGGTGATTTCCTTCGGGCAGACTCGAAAGTGGCGCCCTAAGAGGCATGGGCGGAACTTCAGCATTTCCGACGTGTCCAGGATGAAAAAAGAAAAGCCGAAAAAAAAAGAAGAATCAATTTCTCGCCCTAAGGCACGAGATCGATCATTACGAGAGATTATTCGTACCTGGATCGACAGGCGACCGAGAAGGCCACTTTGATCCCTAATGAACTGTACTGCTGTACTAGCTGAACTAGGCTGTAATATTCTATGATCAAGGGAATTAAGAAAAAGACCTTAATGTCCGGTTTTTATCTCAACGTCGCCGTAGGCTAGGATTAGGAATATTCATAAGTCGCGAACTGTGTCATTCAGGAATTAATACTCTCGCAATTATGCGCCTGGTAACTCGCGATTACACGGCGGTACGACCCAGTGGTAATACCGTGCACAGGGAGCTAGTAACAATTTTCCAGCAACAATTACTGCGTCCGGCGATCCCCGGAAGCAGTGGCCTTCGTTTCGCGCCATGTCGCGGACCCCCCCGGGAGAGGTGGCCAGCGATTCCGTTTAATAATTAAGTTGCCATTAATTACGCGCCCCGCCAGCGTGACGGGACTTTCTCCTGCGGGAAGTCCCCTCGCCCCGGGGGAGAGGGGTAAACATTTCCCCGATGTAATTCCTCATTTTCAAAATGGCGACTTCTTTCCCTCGTTAACAACCGGCGGCCTCTGTCGGGCTTTCTCCTCGGCGCGTTCTTAACCTTAAAGACGGCGAGGAACCGCGTACGCGGCGCGGCCGTTTCCTGAATATGTAAATCGAGCCTCGTTATTATGCAACGGGGACTCTAAGTGCTTTATTACGAGTTACGGTATCACAAGGTGGGCACCTACGCCGCCCCCGTAGATGGCGCGCCGGGCGCCATCTCGCGGCAGAACGGCGAACGACGACTCTTGATACGAGATATCTCGCCGGGGAAAAGCCGAGAGAGACCTTAGGTAATCGACAAAGAGGCGGAAAGGGAGAGTCGAGTGACGTTTTCGTGGGTGTAGGCCGTGGTCGGGGCCAAAGGACTTCCGGTTGCCGCGCTCCTTCGTCGGGCGATTCGCGGCCTCGCAAATAACTGGTTTTCGCAAAGTGCCGGCCATCGAACTCAGGCCCCCACGGCGAGTACCCGGGGTTCCGCCAAGAAAGAGAGAAGGACTCCCATCGTCCGCGGAATTAATGAATATGGAGGATTGGAGGGAACCAGATCGAGCGGAAGATGGTGATTCCCTTTATCGGTCGCCCCAAACCTGGGAATTATCCCGAGAAAAGTGCGAAAGCTGATACCAATGCGTGGGGAAAAATATCACCTTGCATCGATACAATTTTTCTTGCCTGAATCGTAGAATGGGATTGTTGTATACTCAGCCAAGTATTTCGGTTGACACGATGAAATTCATTGGTTAATAATTTTTCCATGGTTACATCAAATGTAGTAGGTTATACAAGATCGTACTTAATTACTTATTAATTAAATACGGTCAAGTAAACGATTTTGGATGGACTAATTTTTTTTTTTTTCCGTTGGCACTAACTGAATAGCTGATCGATACAATTTTTCTTGCCTGAATCGTAGAATGGGATTGTTGTATACTCAGCCAAGTATTTCGGTTGACACGATGAAATTCATTGGTTAATAATTTTTCCATGGTTACATCAAATGTAGTAGGTTATACAAGATCGTACTTAATTACTTATTAATTAAATACGGTCAAGTAAACGATTTTGTCCGATG